CAACTATTCAGCTGCCTAATAGGTACTAATATACAGTCAAATCAATAGGCTAGATACCAAATGCTAACTGAAAATGTGTTTCTAACCTATTACTTTGCATTTGTATATATAATATAGCATGTAGATAACCAGTATCGTACTTCTTTGGCCTATCCAATCAGAAACCTTTACCATAATTATTATGGATCACATGTTAATGAATATTCATTAGTAATTTGCAAAGAAGTTAAACATTATAAAAAATACTTTATATAATCTTCTTTCTTACTTTTTCAAGTATATACTACTAAAAAACTCAATATTAACATTGAAAGTCTTATCTATTGGCTAAAACTACAGTGACAACCACCTTGGCATCAAATTGTTGATACTGCCCTCTGTTGACAGTTACTAGAACTAAAATAGAGTATCACTCTAGGATTAAAACAGCTTTAATTGTCAAAAACCAAAAATATTATACAATATTAGGTTAGATCTACAACTAAATAGATTTATTATGACAAAACCAATAACTATACGAAAAAAATAAATTTCCTAAATTTGTATATAAATTAATAACTTAAGTGTTTTATTAAATTGAGTTTAACCAAACAATATTTTATTAAATATCTAACACAGAAGTAAAATGTATAACTGTCTCTTTATATAAAAAAACAACATATAGAAATTACATTTGCCAACCTGATCACAATTACTGAGTTCCAATGCACAAGGATACTTTAGAAAGTTAGATTTATTCACAAGATGACAAAATACTTGGTAAAAAGTTCTTCTCGAGTGGAGAGGACTGCCAGCCTTCACTTCCATAATCTCAACTCTTCCCTCACTGTAAATATTAAATACATATTTCTAAATATAGATGGTCCACAAAGAAATATATCATTGTCACACTTCCTTGTTTATAGTATTAACTAAGCAATCATTAGGTATGTCTTAATGAAGCCCTTATTCGCATAATACCTTTCAACGCATCTTCCGAGTGATATTATTTTGGATCCACCTTGTAAGTGTTTACATGTCAAGGACCAAAAAGCCGTAAAACAATCTACTTACTACAGAAACAAACAATGACCACTTTCAAGCCCATTTGGAGATTTGTACTATTCAAATTCCTACTTATTACATTTAATATAGATATGGATAAATCAGCATAGTCCCCCCCCCCCCATCTGGTGTTTCGATGCTACAAGTTATTTTGCAGAACTGACTAAACCAATCTGATGAAATATGATAAAGACCACCCCACCCCCAAAATTTACAATCTTAATGGATAAGCAGCTGGACGAACGATTCAGGTCTGGCAGATACTTCAATTTTTATTATGTGAAGCCAAAACTAAACGGAAATTTTGTTTAATACTATACGTACCACCGGTACCTTTGCTGATTGTGGACCTGCATGATGAATGAAGCATGCCATCCCCACAATACCCATGAACCCAAAGATGTTACATGCATGGGCATCTCATCTGCAAAGGGGGGGGGACGACTTGCCCCCACCTGGAAAATGAGAAACATAAATTCTTTCTTTATTCATTCAGCATACGTAGATGTTTTGTTTCTCAAATTCAAGTCATATTGCATACTATATTTCACACAGATTTATAGATCAATTTTTCAATAAAATTTATGGAAGGGACGAGCTAGGCCCAGTGGTTTGGTTAGCATGTTTGATTGTGGATCTTAGATTCCTTGATTCATTCCCCTTTATCGCCCGACTCCCCATAAAAAACAACAACAGAAGTCGTGGTCCACACTCTTTCCCTCTAGAGTATCACTTGAAAATTAGAAAGTGGCTATCATTTACAGATGGGCAAAAGTGGTGCTAATAAAAGTATGCCGAGATTTTAAGTATTGAACTTTGAGGGTCAGATAAGTTTTAGTTTTGTAATTATTGTGAAAAGGCTTTTAAGGAAAAAATAAAGTGTGTGTGTGTGTGTGTGTTATTCACATCTGACATTGGAATAAACTTCTTTGTGAACATTTCTGTCTAGTAACAATCAAAACTTGTTTTTTTTCAGCCTGGTCATTTGTAAATATCACATCTAGCAGAAGCAACCAGCAAATAATACATTTAAAGAACATACTTACGCGATTTTTTTTTTTTTTTTTTTCAGCTGTATTTCCTGCTACAATTTTCAGTGCAATGATACCTTTGGTAGCTCTGGTTAGCATGGTGATAATGTGGCCGGTTAAATTATCTAGATACTTCTATGGTGGATAACAGTGTCCGAAAAGGATGTCGATATCACCTCAACATGTTTGTTGTTGAGTGTGCAGAACACGTGTGGCTATGGTAGGATTAATGACAATACCCGTGTCATTTGTTCACCCATAAAAATATAAAAAACTACTGTATATTCCTCAAATAATGCTAAGAGCACATTGTATCCCCGTTTGTGCCGAATGCATAGGTAATAAAAGAATTGCTGTTGTTTAATTTATTGCTATTAAGCACAAAGAGCTATCTGTGCTCTGTCCACCATGGGTATTGAAACCTGGTTTCTAGCAGTACAAGTCCGTAGACATACCATTGTGAATACAGAATTACATACATTTTTAATTATTTAAAAACTAATACATGTTCACTATAATATAATAAGCAAGTTTTACATACAAAGTTAACTTCGATGAAATGTAAAATTTTAAAAAGAATATAAAATTACAATTTCTACCCAGAAAAGAAAAACTTTAAAAGAATCGTATATATATTTTTACATACATACACCCTAGTAACACAACAATACATCTGCAGACATATAACCTTAGAAACCAGGTTTCGATACTTGTGGTGGGCACAGCACAGATAGCGCATTGTGTATCTTTGTGCTAAACTACGAACAAACTGAACTACAATTTTGTGTGTTAATATAAATGCAATGCAAGTGTTCGGTTATTATTTGACAAATAACCTTAACTCACCAGTGATAATTTTGTTAATTGCTTGATAATTACATATACTCATTTCGTAATTTGGTCCTAAGTGTTTTCCTTCAAGTTTTACTAATTCAAACACATTAAAATAGAAAGATTTCATTAAACATCACAAACCACTAAGTACATAATGTTATCTTATTTCAAAAATGTTAAGAACGTTAGAAATGTCGTGTAAATAAAGGTTAAAGCTTGTAAATTATGTATCTTTCCTGCTGTGTTTGTGCTCTACTTCTGCAGGTACTCTACCCAGTATATTATATATATATAATTCATCGTTATTATTCTGTACTCACATGGTCCTAGGAAGAACCACTGTCACATTGCCATTTCTGTATATGTGGGGGTCATGCCCCCTAAAATTTTTTAAAAATCTGATGCAACGAAAATGAATCTTGAGCCATTTAAACTATAAATACTGCATACACGCAACCTAATGTATTGAATTAAAAGAAGCAAGTTTTTCATACATAGTTGTAGCTGTACATAGTAAAAAAAAAAAAGTTGTCAGGCCATGGCCTGAATGGCCTTACCGCTTCCTACGGCTATGAATCGTGTTTTCTGAATTTATTCAACTGTTCTGTGTAAGAATCAGTCTTTTTTTTCAGCTTGCTTGATGATATAATGTTAATTTATGACTGAAAATTATGGGAAAATAAATGCATGCAATGTACATTGTACAGCCAAACGATCTGCCGTCTTTACTCCCAGTTAATCAATGAGGGATCGTGCGCGAATCTACTAACGCACGGTGGCGCCAGTATCGATGTTGTTCCAGTACTGTTTGAGCGATACATAATTTTCACTTGTTTTCCTGATATTTATTTTACCAGTTCCACTAAAGTTAGTGAGAAATGTGAAAATTTTAATCTTAGCATGATTAAGACGGAACTTAAATGTAGTGGAACTAAAACTACTGGAAGAAAATTCGATTTGATCGACAGGTATACAAAATAATATAAGCGATAATACAGTGTCAGACTACTGTTTTGTTACATGAAAACAAGCATAGCTTCAATATGTTGGTAAGAACCTTGTTCCAAATTGCTGAATAAAACGATATAATTATAGCTACTGAATGAAAATAATGATAATGATTAACTTTTATTCACATTTAAATATGAATATTTGGCACTATCACCGACATTTTATAGGGCTAGGATAGTTTTCGCGGGTGTGTCAACTACTGGCTGGTTGAAGCATTTTTATCCTTTTCGGCGCTCACTCGGTTCATCTGGTGGACTGTGGTGTGATTCTCTTGAACTAACTGAACACATTTGGAACGGCACCTGGTTTTACTTGTCTTCTTTGGGGTGAAGGTCCAAACAACAAAATAATATATAAAAAAGTCCACCCCCTTTATAATATTTACTGCCAATCACTTTCCAAGCCTAGTATAGATATTAATATACGGGGTAAGCATTATTGAAATACTAGCCATTCTTACCCGGCGTTGCCCGGGTATTTCTTTAACAGAGGGCTCATGCTTAGCTATTTTTAAACAGAAAGAATCAAAATTTTGCTTTTCATGTAAAAAATACGTGTCGAATGCATAAAGCTACTAATACTGAAAATAAAGACATACTGTTTTCAAGCATTCTATGAATATGAAATTAGTACGAACAAACAGTTAAATAAAATCATTTCCGCCAATAATATGGATCCTAGCCCTTGTGTGCGTGGTTTCATGTTTAAAAATGTACAACAATAACAATTTTGTAACAACAGGTTTTAAAAAAACGTTGTGTAAAATAAAATCTAAACTCTTTTTAGCCCTCTATTTAATTTGTTTAATCAAATCAACCACTTTCTCAGCTATGTAAACTACTCAACTTATTTTATAAATTTAATATCAAAGACAGTATTTTAAAACTTACACAAAACACAGTGTAAAATTAAAACCTTTAATTTTACAATGTATTTGAAGTATAAAAAAGTTTATTTTTTCTCTACATAATACTTATATTAGTATCATCCTTATGTTTATTATATCGAAGCAATTGATTTATATTCTATATTCATCATAATTCTATGTATTTAATAACTTTAATACCAGATGTCAGTTATTGTTACGACTGTTGCTTAGATACCTATTTTAAAATTTCCACATTTATAACGAGTTTCTTTTGTTCATTACATTGTTTGCCCAATGAAAGGGCAAGAGGGTCGAAAGCACGGAAATAAAAGTATTTTAACGTAGATAAAAATTCTTGTATAATTCTACATATTAATTAACTTACGTTATGAGTCTTAAACAACATTTATTAGGGGCTATTTAAGCATGATGGAAAATATCGCTTACTTTTTGTCATACTCTTCCTGAATAGGCGTTTCCTCTCCTTTCAGTTTCTGGTGGGGCTCACAGCTGCACTACTCTTTCACAAATGATTTTTGTAAAATGTTTGCATCATTCGTATTTCTTTCAAATTTTTTTTGAAATATTTTAAAAAATATATAAGTCGTTATTACCCACAATGTGTAAATCCCTCAAGTATGCACTACAAACTTTGAAAGAAAACAAACTTATTTCAAATTTGTTTTCTACTGCACGAGCAATAACGACTTTTATTTTTAAAAAAATATTTTTTTTTATAAATTTGAAAATCAAAAATACAAACGAACAAACATTTAAATATAATCATTTCCGCCAATAATATGCATTGTAACACTTTTATACGTGTTTTTTCTTCTTCTTAAAACTGTTGTTACAAAACTGTTAATGTTACTAAATACTTATTCCCTAACAATTTATTGTACCAAGCGACAAATGGCAGCATATACCTCTCTCTTTTTTATGGCTTAAGGGCTGTAAGCCAAAAAAATTGGCCAAACAACATTTGAGAAAAAAAATAATAATAAAATGCACACTCTTAATATGCATGCAAAATTTCCGGGCTTTAGGTTCTTTCCTCTTTGAGCTATGGCGGTCACACACAGACCGTTTTATTAATATATATTAGTCTCTATAAAGCATTAGATACACTTAGTCATAGGTCTATAAAATAATAAATATAAATTTGTAGACTATGCTTAGCTAAATGGGACGTGGTGTATTTTGAAAATAAAATTGTAAAACTTGACTCAACATAAAAAGGTTATAAATGGGAATAATTTGAAACAAATTTCTAAATGGAAAGCAGGATTATTGAAAACTTTAATAAACATTAGGCCTACCATAACTAGTTTCTGATACACAGACGTCAAGCACGAAGTGGTCATGACAAACAATAACTCCTTTTTTTAGGTTTTTACTGGTCCCGTCTGGACACATGAAGTCACTTTCTAAAAAATTCTAGATTTGAAGGCCACGAATGACCACCTCTCTTAGAACATCCAGGCACACAACAAGTCGAGAAAAGAACATGGAGAATATAAACATCCGGGTATTTGTCTTTCAAATTTTTGTAGTGCATACTGGAGGGATTTACATTTTTGATTAAAAGTTTAGAAAAAACGACCTTTATAGTCCAGATAAATATAAAAGATTTTTAAAATTTTTAAGTAACGTTTCGCCTTTGCGGCTTCATCGGGGTTAATGTACACCACCCATAAAAACCCATTTAGAAATTTGTCTAAAATGATTCCAAATTTATAACTTTTTTATGTTGAGTCAAATTTTAATTTCAAAATACACTCCCCCTCACTACGTTCCATTTAGTTGTGTATATTAACTCTGATGAAGTCGCAGAAGCGAAACCTCGATTAAAATTAAAACAAAAATTATTTCATTTATATACGGGTATCTGACTAAAGACAAGAACCGCATCGCTACTGGCACCCTCTACTGGTATAATTAACACGGTCCATTATTTTATATGCTGTTAACTTATCAAAATTAAAACCAACCTATTACTTCTATCATTACTCAGCCACTTTTTTTTGCCAGCTTCTTAAAATGGCTGTTACTACGTTCAGTACTGATTATTAACTTTAGCTATATCTGTATATTAGACGAAATCATGCAGCTAACTTTGTCTCTACTTTTAACATTTACAGGTTTAACTTTAAAAAAAAATTGTGCACGCGTATACGCACGTGTATCTTCCGTCACGCACGAGTCGAATAACAATTATTCTAGCAGGTTCAGTTTTATGCAATCGAACATTTTATTACTAACTTGTTTTACTTCCGTCATACTAAAATAAACATGATACTAGAATGGTTATTACTGAAACCAATCAATGTTCTCAAACATCGCATACAAAAGAACACTTTTTACCCTTTTGAACTAGTGTCCCACGAACTGTATTCGTTCCGTTATCGTTCTTTGTATCTCTGGTGGTCCTTGGTGGCGATTATTTGCCTAATTCCTATAGTTATTCGGATTTTCTTAGCGCAATCCATATCGCAGTATATTTTTCATGTATTGTTTGCATTATTAGTAAGTATAGGTGCGTTTATATATTTTTACAAAGAAAGAGAAATTATACTTGATTTACAACGGAAAGAATACCGCTTTTATAAGGGCAAAGCTCTAATATACAGGGGCCACATACATAACATATTCATCCGTCTGACAGCTAACAAGGGGAATAGTGGAGTCTTTTTTTACCGTTTACTACTTGGAGGGTAAGTTGACCAAAACGATAAACTAACATTGCCAGGAAACAACTTAAATTATGATATCCATTTACACTCCAGCAGATTAAGAAAAGTTTAGACCGATACAATAACGTTAAGAGTGTGTTCTTCCAATGCCAATGTGCTTCGAATTAAGACGTTCCAGTTTAAGCTTAAAACTAAGGCTCACAAAGCGCCAGATTAGGGCCGTTTACCATAGACGTAGGTCTAATAAGTTTTTTTTTTTTAGTAACCCTAAAATGCAAATCTCTTACTCTTAGGCTCGAAACGTTGAGATAACAATCAGTGCGTTTGTCGTGTTGTGTGAGTGTTTGTAAATTTCTATCAAGTGTCTTTAGAATTCTATTTTTCTGTGCTCATGCATAAATTTTAAGATAAACCTTATGTTTCTGTGTTACACAGAAATATTGACTAAGCACTACTGTATCAGCTTAACGAAGTAACTTAATATAAGTTAATTTTGGAGGCTTGTCATGATTAAATATACTATTTAAAAACATAAGGTTATATTAGTGTAAATCAATAAACACAAACATATTTATGTATTCTTCACTAGTTTTAGCAATTCTAGACTACGTTTAGGCTTGTTGTTGTTTAACTTAGGCTTAAGATGTTAAGTTAGTTGATTCAAATACGACCGAACCTCGGTGGATCAGCGATAAACTAGAAAGCTTATAATGCAAAAAAATCGGGGTTTTATACCTGCTGTAGGCACAGTTCAGATACCCCACTGTAGCTTTGTGCTTAAAGTAATAGTAATACTATGTTATGCAAATTTACTTATAATATTATATTATTATGGATAATCCCCGGAAACACCTGTTGTTAAACTTAAAGTTAAACATGAGTTCTCAGTACTATTATTTTTCACTAACTTAGTTAATTATTTCTACGTAAAATATATTTAAAGATTACTTAACTCATGCTAGGCCTTAAAATGAATGACCCGTAACTTTAACACTCATAGAGTTAGGCATATTGTCGCCTATAAGTTATAAATTTATTTTTATATGGGTATGCCTTATACTTTTCTTTAATGTCCTATATCTTCAAAATAATGCAAGCTATACCTGATGACTGTTGAAAAATGAATGACTTTTCTTTTATTAGTGTTACCTTACGAAACTATTTTATTCAATTGGACGAGGAGTATCTTGATGAATTGCTGAAGCTCTGTTGCTAATTGTAATATTCTAACCTTACATGTCTTGGTTTAAAATATTGTAACGAATAAAGTTGCGAAATCAACTGTTAAAAGGGTTTTCTTGGAATTTAGTTTATTCTTTTCCCTAAGATTTTTCATCTCGTTAAATAGAAGTGTTTGGCAATCAGAATCGGAGATCTTATAACAAAACAACAATTGCAAGAAAAGAAATAAAAAATTATAATCTTTTTGGTTCGGTTTATTTTCTAAATTAAATTTCAAGTGTTTGTAAATGATGCACGATATGTTCTGCATGCAAATTTAAACATAAAATACAGTTTAGTAAATTGTATTTCGATTCATCGATTTTTTTCAGTCCAACTATCTTTTGGAATTGATATCTCATTTTACTTTCTATTTTAGTTTTACGTATGTATAAATCGTTCCATTTGAAAGATTAATTTACTAAATTATATAGTTGTAATGTGTTCTATCTTTTTGGCGCGTTCTCTTCTTCTCTTCGATTATTTGTTTAAGATAATGACAAGTCCAGTTCATATAACGATAACGAATTAATTTCTTTTTTCAATAACATCTACAGGTTTCGTTCATTTGACACAAGTTGTAACTTGTAGGCCTAAGTTGATAAATAAATTTCAACATAAATGTAGGCTTAACTTCAAATACACAATATTTGGCCAACAATTTCAATACTAAAACACGCCTAACTTACTTAGTTTCAATCGATTAACAAACATGCCAGCCAACTCACCGAACAACCAAATATCAGATTATACAAGATAACTTTCACTTGTAACACTGAATTACTTCTCTGTCAGTAAACTGTGATATGATCACTGATAACTCATATTTATACCATACCTATTTTCTAAATACTGCAGGAACTTCTGAATTCTGAACTCTCGTGAACTTTCCACACATCAAAGTAATATAGCCTCTGGCAAACATCAAAATTAAAGCGTTGAAAATAGAGCTTACAAAAACATAATTATTTTAGGCACACCTGTATGTCTTACACATTCATTTTTGATTAAATTTATATGATTATTATTATCAATTTATCTGTCTTTACAAATACTAATAATAAACAGTGATTTTGGCTTCATTTTATTTTTAAAATATTAATACAAGTTTTTCTCATATTATCTTTTTAATTGTTTGAAAGGAGTTTACCTTTTTAACCTAAGTTTATCCAAAAAACAACTGATTTAACTGTAAATTTAAAGTGTCATCATACACACACACATATATACATGGACTTGTGTAAGGGTCAATAAAAATATATACACTATTTATAAAAAAAATAATAATTTATATATCTTTTACTAAGCTCTGAAATTTGAAACATTTATTACCTGCTGTTTCTTTACCATTTTAATTTGTGCCATTATTAATCTCTTGGTTCTTTATAGTCTAGTCCCTAGTCACTAGACAAGTTTTATACTCTCAAAGAAAGTTAGTGTTAGAGAAGGAAGTACACTATATGAACACACACAAATATATATATACAGCTATGGTGCATTACTGTAGGCCTGCCATAGACTGAGGAGTTGGGCGCTCGACTCGCAATCTGAAGGTTGTGGGTCACCTAACATTCTCGCCTTTTTTATTCAGGGGGGGGGGATGCTTATGCTATGACAGTCAATCTCACTGTTCGTTAATAGAAGAGTAGCCCAAGAGTTGGGGGGTGGGGGTGGAGTTGACTAGCTGCATTCATTGTAATCTATCTCATGTAGCTTTTATGCGACATTCAGAACAAACGAATCCAAGCATTTTTGTAAATCATCAAGGCACTCGCAAACATCTAAGTTCTTATATATCCGTTAGAAACATATAATCTAAGAGTAGCGATATGATTATTTTAAAAAATACTTTGCTTAAAGAAAGTGCTGTTAATAACAAAAGCATAACAACAACGAAAATAAAGGCTTGGTGCTTTATTCTTTATTTCAACGTCTCTGTGCGCAACGAGGCCGTTGTAAAGGACGTGCTCAGCTCCTTTAATTAAGAAGGTTGATTAGTTTTGTTTAAATTGTAAATTACCCTTGGTTCTCTTGTAGTAGATGTAGAAATTATACATTAAAGAGACGTCAGTTTGTACGCGATGTTCATTTAGTAAAATTTCATATATTCGCAAGGCTTTGGTCGTTAATTGAAAATATTTTTCTTCCCTGCTTTTGTTAATGTAGGCATTTTTTGATCTGGGTAAATTCGTGTAGTCTTGAATTGCAAAGTAATTTTTTTTTTAAATTCTATGTATGTACAGAAATAATGATTCTACAATTTCAAGGTGTGGCGATACAGCGATATCTTACGAGTAACGTATCGTGAAGCCGTGATACGAGTGTATCGATACGTCGTTCGATACGATTTATGTATCTTCACGAAATTTGACAAGCCTTCAGTAAACATTATAAGTCTTTCGTACAGAAAAAATCAGAATTTCTAAAAAATTTTAGCAAAAATACATTAATAATACTCATCTTCCTTTATTGAATCGAGTACTAGATGTTGTCTTCATTTCTTTTATCAAAAATATTACGTACAAAGTAACGTAACAATAACAGAATAGATAGATATTAACTTTGTTTTATTGTACTTCTCTTGCCAGCTGTCATTTAGTTGATCAAACCTGAGAATTTGAATAAAACACTGTAAAATGTGAAGTACTTAAATAAGACATTGTTAGTAATATAGATAATAAACTACAGACAAGACTGTGTAACAAA